GGTGATTACAGGAGAGAGAAGCATTGGTTTTATTTAGAATACACTTAAGTCCTATTTACAAAGATTTTTCCACAACTACGACATGCAAAACTGAAGGTTTTCACATGACCCTATAACATGAAAGTTAAAAATAAGGAAGGAAATATCACAAGTATCTTTTTAAAAATCATGAAGGATAGGACAGATGTGGGGTCTGATAGACAGATAGGCAAGCTGTATCTGCATTTATTAATTCTCTGTGATATGAAAGGAGAAGATGCCCTGAGTAGCATGATCACTAATAGAAAGTAGGAATAGATTTGGGTCATGAATTGTTGAAAAGATGAAGTCCTGAGTAAGCAATTCTATATCCATACAGTATGGAGGTATCATTGGCTTCAAACAAAGAATATAAACATGGTTTATTAGTCAGGCTAATTAGCTGTGCAGAAAAATGTCCAGGCTAATTAACTTCGGCAGAGTGCAGTTTGAATATGACTGTGGTGCTCTGGGAGCCTAGTTACTGTCTCTGTGCTAAGTAATGTAAGATCTGCTTAATATTTATGGCTCATTGTTAGCCTTTCCTACTATCTGGTTGCCAAGAGCTTGTATTTTCAGGGAATTTGTTTCACTGCTGTAAGTGTGTGTACTGTGGTGTGCGGTGTGCAGAGTCCAGGGGCTCCCGCTACAGATGACAGGCTGGTTCACTCTACAACAGGACCTTCGAAGTGAGGTCAGACTAAGCAGACCAATTCTGAAAGCTGCATGAAAGACAATGGTTAAAATTAGTTTTATGTCTACTTACAGTCACAAAAATCTAAAAAATTTGTAAAAGGGTCTGAATCTTCATTAGCAATCTTTTAGGGAGCCAGTTAAATATGAAAAAATTTAATTTTTCTGCCTGGATTTCAGATCTTCCCACTCGGAAGCTGAACTTCTTTTAAACTTTCAGCACCCTTTCATTCTTAGAATATATTGCTGTAGTTATAGGCCAGTGGCAGAGATAATTCTTTGGAACAACCATCACACTAACATAGTGCAATTTAAGATGTGAATATTCTTTTTCTTCCTCTAGTTAATATGTGGTTGTAGATAATTGGTAGTTTTGTCTCTGCCAGACAAGTGGTTTCCCCTCTAGAAGATCTCTCTCTGCTCTCAGAAATTGATTCTCTGAATTACTTTCTTCTTGTGGGATGAACCCTAGTAAAACTGAAACGTCAAACATTAGCAAGGAGAGGTGGTATTTTGTTAGGCACTTAACATTGCAGTGACTTAGTAAAACAGAATCAAGTGTATTTTTCGCTGAAGTACAGCGATACTTGATATTAAGAAAGGCTAAAGACTAATCATAAATGTTAAACAGATCTTACAGCTACTCGCGAACTACTACAAAGACAATAACAGACTGGTAGGTAAGAGCTGGAAAAAACCTATATAGGCATGCAAGTCAACCTTCTGTCAGTACAAATCTCTACATTTCAAAGGCCGAAGAGGTAAAATTTCAAGGAAAGATAATGGTTTATCTAGTCTTTTTGACAATAACAGAGGTATTACATTCATTAGATCTCTGTCTAGACAAATTTTGTCTCAGTGTAGTGACCTGGTTTTATTTGAGACAAGTATTACTAAGGCTACCACCAGTGGAGCTCTGTAAAATGTTAAGAAAAAGGATATTATTGCTTGGAAGTGACAAAATCTTTCCAGGATTACTTTTTCCAAGGAAACAAAAGAAAGAGGTGTGCAGCACTGTGTCCTTCCTAATAAGCTGCACTGTGTAGTCATATGAAGGCCACTACTTCAAGGTGGCACAGCCATGCTTATTGCTCAGAATTGCCAGGGATTCCAGATATCCTTGTTTATTAGATTTATAAGCAGGAACTTCTAAGCCTTGGAGATCCTTTGCTACTGGAATCCATTGTACAAACGTTCTTCCCAGGAAACAGGGCTTATCCCAAGGATGCTCAAAATATTTCTTTGTGATCTCTTTGACAAACATGCAATAATTTCTGATACATTTCCATACAAATAAAGGAGCCAGTGGGCTAGTAACTAGAAAAAATATTATTATTTTTAAAATGTTCTGAGTCACAAATAAATCCAGCCATTTTAATGACATTTTAATCCAGCAGTCTCCAAGATGATGTACTGGGAAATGGAGAACAGGGGATAGAGCAAGAGGATGAGTCTTTCTTGAAATGCAGAAATTCATAGAAAGAGCTTAGATACCTCAACATGATCACTTTGTATATTTCTATGGCAAGAAAGACTAATGAAAGCTTTTAATTTAAGTAAAGGGGGAAGATGAAGTAGAACTTAGAAAGGCAAAATCATATTATCAAACCCAGTCATCTAGAAGTTAGGGATCAAGCCCAAGCTGGTCAGCTTGGTTGGTAATAAGTAGGGACAGGTAGGCAATTCTAGAAGGGCAAACACAGCATACAAAAATTGAATATAATGACTCAACGGAAGCTGTCAGGGACTGAAGAGGGAATCAGAACAATTATTGTACACAGGGATTCATTCACTAAGCTCACCTGTTCTCCATTACCTTCCCTATCCTGTGATGGAGCTGCCAAACGTACAGACTTCATGCAGATGTCCAAGTACCATGCTAGATGTATCACAATCACTGGTTTTGGAGTTGCCAGAGGAAGCAGGTCTGTCTCTCACTGAACATTAGATTTGTAATTCAGCATAAATGTAGAGACATAAAATATGACTAAGGACGCATCCAAGTGGGATTTTGTAGGATATCAAATACAGGATATTGCAGCTTCACTCTTGGGTGAATTATAGTGCTCTTGATAGAGTGCAAGCTATCACCTGAATGTTCTTTCTATGCTTAAATTCTGGCTGAAAATTCAAGGCAGAATGGCTCTGCTCTTAGAGGTGCTAGAAACATTTTCTGGCATGAAACTGCTCATTTCGTAGTCTGGGAGGTCTATTTGGTGCATTAGTGGAATGATAGACAAAGAAAATGTTAGGCTGCAATCTTTTAAAATTTTTAGCCATTGCCATAAATGTTAACAGTAAACATGTCAACAGATTGGACAGGGAATATGCACTGCTGGGTTTCCCTCTTCGACGCATTAGGGAATACAGAGCAAGAAATTAAAAATGAAAGCCAGAACCATTTCACACAAGATTAATTCTTTTAGGATCAATACGTAACTCCATTTTAAATGTCTTGTTCTCAGTAGAATTCATTTTACAATATATTATTTCAATAAATACTCTTGGTGGTATGAAAATGCAGTTTCTGGGGATTCTTACTCTTAACTGAAACAACTTGATTTTTAGTCATGTATTGAATATTTTTATTTTTATTGATTGATATATTTATTTTTATTTTTATTGATTCTATGATATTGATTCCATACATTACACATTTCACATTATAATAAGAGATGAAAATACTGTCTTCACTCTAGGCCATGGGAAAAATGACCAAGTATTGTCTCTTATTTGGTGAAAGAAACCTCATACAAGGTATGAAAAATGCAGTAATGAAATATTTCAAAGGTGCGAGATGATTAATAAGGAGAGATATTAAATGCCTTGTCAGAATGATGACATAATATAATTTACTACCATGACCCCAAATAATGGTGTCAACCACTACAAACTGCTAATCGTTTAAAACAAAATTAAGAGAAGAGATAGAATAGCAAAAGGAAAAGGATCTGAATCAGTTTGTGGCATAAACAATTATGCTGAAAAGCTCTTGACAATTTTCCTGGAGGTTTCAGCAAAGAAACTAGAATAAAATTTTGAAAAGTAGCTTTTTCATTTGAGTTTGCTTTTATTTGGTCTCACTGTAAAGCAGGTGAGAACATACAGAGCACTTCAATGAGACTGACTGCAGTTACAGGTGGAAAAAATGGGTGATAATTAGTGAGCTTGCTGCATTTCAAAACATGAGACAAATAAATTGATTTCTGCCTTTTGATGGTGTCAGTAATATGCCAGTAACACAACTATTTCCATAATAACAAACAAAAAGATAATGACAATATGAACAAAAATAGAGGGTGTATATGTTGTAAGTAAAATGTGGTATGTGGGTGTTGTGCAGAAAGAACACTTATGCATCATAAGTTCATGAGTAATATGACACCTTAAAGCACCAGAAACAAAAATAAAAGAATCTAGCCTACATGGTAAGCACAAGTTTGTAAAAACATTTACACATTTGTTAGATGAGAATAGCCAGTAAACAACTTTACCTGTTCAGGAAGAATGTGAGCTTTTAATAGAAGTGCTCAGGCAGAGATAATGGGAAAGTTTTTCATTCAGGAGAAAGTGTGTATTACTGTTATTGTTTTCCAAAAGTGACTACAGCATGACTCTGTGAGACCATTCTGTGCATCAAAATCCTGCTTTGAACCTTCTTAGAGAATTACGCACCCAGATTGGAATACTTACCCCCAACATAAGTAGGACATGAACTTGTTGGAGTGAGTCCACAGGATGATCAGAGGACATGAGAATCTCTCCTATGAGTTTAAGCTGAGAGAATTGAGTTGTTCAGCCTGGAAAAGAGAAGGCTCCAGAGAGACCATATAGTGCTTTCCAGTGCCCAAAGGGGGCCTACAAGGAAGTTGGAGAGGGAATTTTGACAAGGGAATTAGTGACAGGACAAGGGAAAATGGCTTTAAACTAAAAAAAGGGAGATTTAGATTGGATATTAGGATGATAGTTATGATTATGATTATTCTTTTTATTAATATATTCATTATTTATTGTGAGGGTGGTGAGGCATTGGAACACGTTGTGCAGACAAGTTGTGGATGCCCCATCTCTGTCAGTGTCCAAGTTCAGGTTGGATGGGGCACTGAGCAACCTGGCCTAGTGGAATACGTTCCTGCCTACGGCAGGGCATTGGAACTAGAGGATCTTTAAGGTCCCTTCCAACTCAAATCATTCTATGATTCCGTGATAATTCATCCATGTCCCTGCTGGAATAAGTGATAAAGATGTGCACAGTGATGGACTGCGTTAGGATTGTGCAGGCAGACTATGACAGTCAGATTTTGTAGATCTCAGTCAAAATTATTCTATTGTGAATGGTCAAACTGAAGGTATAGAAGTATCCAAGATATTGTATGTTACTGTATTACAATGGGAAACCTTCTAACCTCACAAAATATAAAAAGTTAGAGATTACATATCATATTCCAGTAGGACTGACTCCATTTTCTTTGGCCTCTCTCTTGCCCCACTGCTATTTTAGCATATTCTTTCAGTCAGTTGGGCATTTTTTTACAGTGGGAAATGTGTAATATTCTTGGTAAATGGAAAGAAAAAGTGTAAATTGGGGACATACTGGAGCAAGACATGAGATGGAAGCGGGTGCGTGTTGTATAACTTTGACTTAAAGCTGCATAATTGCAGAATTGCCAAGAACAAATAAGGCTGAGTAGCTGGAAGGGCAGTAAGAAACCCAGTGGGAAAACAGTTATGTGTTTGTTATTGCTCTGATTATTTGCTAATTTAGTTAAATAGTACTACTTTTCAACAAGACAAACCATATTTATATAGTTCAAATTTGGGAAGACAAAATGGTAAAATGAAGGTTATTTTTTTTTTTTATTTTCAAGGCAAAGACAGGTAGGTTAGCCATATTCCAGGTACTAGTTGAAATATAATTTTGCAGAAAATGGCATATCCATAATAGGATAGATGATTTTTGCCTAAACCCCAGAATATTTTATTCTAAGGCTAATGAGAACTGGAAGTACTTGATTTGGTAAATGGCATAGTATTACATTTTCAGAAAGGAATGTTTGATTTCATATATCATCTTGTGCTCAAGTTGGCAATGGTTTTAAAGGAAATCAAAAGAGCTGAAATAAAACATTTAGTCTCTAATATTTGTACAAAACCATACAAACAAATGAAGAAACCAATTTTTTAAAAAATTAAAATGCTATAATTCTGTGATTTTCCAGGTCCTATTTTGCTGTGCTCCAAACAAGAGAAAAATTTGCTCTACCAGAAGATCCTTAGCTTCTCCCAACAGAAATGAATATTCAGACTTTATGAAATCTTTCAAGAATGCTACAATTCCAACTGCAAAGCAAAAGTATGCATCCTGACCATATTTCTAGGCATTCTGATGTTACAGTTACTGATCATAACAGCTTTACTGCCTGAAAATACAGAGAGTGGTGTTTTTATGTCCCATAAATTATAAGCTTCATCCCTGTTCTGTACTGGATGTTGACAGAAAGGTGACATTGTGCAACAAACATTTTCTTGTAGAAGTTTGAGTTTCTTAAGTACCCAGGTGTCCCTGCTGAAGAGTTATTGAACATTTTTGATTATTTTTTGTTTGTTTTCTATAAATACCTGTTTTCCTAAAAGTCAAAGGATTCCTTTTGTTTTAGTCAGCAGTTCCTTAGATATTATAATTACAGCCCATTAGATAGTGTTAAAAAGCAATTTGGTTTCCTTCCCCAGTCCATGACAACATGCTTACCCAATTACTTCCACAGAGCTTTAAAGATGAGATTTTCAACAGCATCAGCATTGGCAAAATGCTGTTTTCAGTAAGTCGTGGTCATCCCGTTGACTTCAAATCTACAAGAAGCAAAATAGCAAATGTCCAAGTATCTTTAAAGACTCAAAGCTGTCTAAATTATGGGAGAACACTGGAATACATTACAGCAACGCTACTAAGCTAATTAGTTACTGTTTTCAGTGGCTTCTTATGTCAGTATAATTCAATTCCTTAAGAGCCTTTTCCCCATTCTGGTTTTGGGTAGTAATGGAGACATTTTTATTGTAACTGACACTGGCAATTAGATTTCAGAGATTACTTTATGAACCTCATTTCTTTTTTTTTTTTTCCCCTCTAGAAACACTACTTCTGAAAAGCAGAAAAACAAATATTGGAACTTACAAGCCTTTCTATCAGGATGAAAAAGAAAGTAGAGACAGTCACAGAACACCTGAAATCAATCTACATTTTGTAATTCACTAAACATCAGTTTGAAAGGAAAGTAATCAGCTAAGACTGGAGTGATCTTACTGCAAAATATAGAAATCTGGATCCCAGATGCTTGTCCAAGTGGCAGGTGTGTTGCTCTTCTGAACATCCTTTAGTGTTTTCCTCATTTTTGTTTTTGTTTCTAGGCCGTATACCATTGTGAGGTGTTTCATCTCCCGCAGTTTTAACTTTCAATATGTGATGTGTTCCTTTAATGAGGGAATTAAAGGACACCAAAGCTGGGTTTTTTATATTATGAATATTATTCTCGTTAGTATTTTGAAAGCAAAAGAAAAATATTTTTGAAAACCACCATTGGAGACTGGAGGTAGGTCTGATGCAGGTAGGATCCAGTATTTAAGATGACTTTCATGGTTCTATAACATTTCTAAGAAAGGCTTCACAAGGGAGAACAGGTTATTTATTATTTTGGCTCCTGGGAAGAAACTCAGAGCCCTCACTCAGCCCCTTATTGCTGTTAAGCTTTCCAGACAGGTACTTCCTGGTGGATCTGAAATTCACAAATACTGAAAAATCAACCAATTTTTAGTCGTGGAAAGGAATAAGCTCTCCAAAGGGTTGAAAAGTATTAATCACGTATGTTTAAGTATGAGAAGAAACATGTCTCTCTACTTTGGCTTCATGGGTGATAATATTGTTATTTACAACAGCTCATATCCAGGTCTTGGAATCCTCATTTACCACTCCTTGTAGGCTGTTGTGTCACTGCAAAACACAAAGTTGTGGCAGGCTATGCTAGTTTGCTAAGCAGTGAAATGCAGTGACTGACAAACCGACAGAAGAGCAATGGCAGAGCACCTTGGCTCTTGTGGGGTGTCCTGTGGCAGCACAGGTGGCTGCTGGCACAGCCCTGACGTGGGCATGGCCCCCCCCCGCCCAAGCCCCAGGGAAGCAGCTGAGCACTCAACTGCGAGGGACCTGGATGCCATATAACCTTTGGTTATATGTGATTTACAAAGCTGGAAGAGCAATCTTGTTAAAAGGAAAACAAGGAAATAAAAACAAAGTAGCTACTCAATTTTAGGTACAAGGTGTTAGGCAGTGTGCCAGCTCCTTTCCATCTATATTTGGCATCTGTTGACTTTTGCTCATTTTGTTGTGTTTTCAGCACTTTTTATTGATTACAGATTTTGGTGTTGTATTTCTACAAGTATGATACCAGAAAATTGTCAAAATATTTGCAGTCAAATGCAAACCCATTCAAAATTTCACATCCTTTAAACTTCAAAGATTACAAGCAGAAAAGAAAATGAAATATTCCTTAGATTCATAATTTTCTTCGGAAGAAAAAAATGGTGGATATTGCAATGCAATATGATGACTTTTAGATTAAAACTTTTACTGGGATTAGAATTCTTGAAATCAGACTTGTAAAAATGTGTTGTTTCAGATTTTCCAAAGTTTATAATGAAATTATTTATGTTTTTCCAGCCTGGAGGGAAGATAAATAGTGTTTTTGTCAACAGGGAAAACTAAATGAGTTCAGAAATACTTCTTCACCAGTAAAGACAGACAGGACAAAAATAAATTGACATGGTACCTGGATTGCAATGAATATTAGAGCTCTTTGGAGATAAAGCAAAGGAAAAGCTGAAGGGAAGACATTAATAGACTATTCCGGATAGCCCTTTGCTCTAACATTAACACAAGTTTCAGGAAGAAATAAAAGATTTTAGATGAAGATCACACACGCAACAGACAAAGGAATTACATCTTTTTTTTTTCCCCCATTGAATTTTTTTTGGTGAATATTCTGTTGAAGGAGATGAACTCTCAGCTTTCTGGGGATTTTTTGTTGGAGTAATTATATAAATACAGTAAAAGACAATGTAGAAGAAGAAGCAGGCTACTAGGTCATTAGAGTATGGACACAAAAATGAAGGATCCAATACACTTAACAAGCAAGCTCTACAGAGCATGGTGGGGTTTGGTTTTTTTTTTGGTTGTTTTTTTGTTTTGTTTTGTTTTGTTTTTTGTTTGTTTAGTTTGGTTTTTTTTTGTTTTATTTTGTTTTGGGTTTTTGTTTTTTTTTTTTTTTGTTTGGTTGGTTGTTTGGTTGGTTGGTTTGGGGGTTTTTTAGTTTTTGGGTTTTTTTTGCTTTTTTTAGGTTTTGTTTCTTTCTTCTTAAGCTTTTAATGTTTTGTTGCTATTGTTTACTGTCTATAAGGCTGAGCAAGGGCCTCAGTGAGATTTTAAGTCTCTGTAGATTTTCCTGCTGGCTCCTAAACTAAGTACAATATTCCCAGCTTTATCCAGCTCTGCTTTAAAAACCATTTGTAATCTACATAAGAGCAGTAAAGAAGAAACATATACCGTATTATTACTGGGATAATTTCTGCCTGGCTAATCTCAAATTTCATTGCTTCTGGGCTTCTTTTCTTATTAGTAGTGAATGTTTATAATTTCAAGAGATTGTATAAGTCCTTTCTTGCCTCATCTAGCCCCTCCACAGAAAGAACAGTTCTCCTTGACTTTAAAGCATGATATATTCTGCTTCATCTACAATATATCCAAATCCACTCTAAACAGTCTTTCCATTTCTTGGTGAGGTACCAGTAATTCTGAACAGTCAGATACTGCCAGCTATTACTGCTTTCAGTAGCCAACTTTCAGCAGAAAAGACATGGTGTAAAGCTTTGAAGTAGTTGATCAACTATGCTCAAGTGACTGCTGCTCCCTATATGGATGTAGCTTGGATTTGCTATACCCATTTTTCATTTCAGTACAAAGACAAAGAAAGATCTAAGAAATGTGTATGTTCATCTCCAAAAGCTGAAAAAAAGGTCTACCTTCTGTTCTTACATATGTGGCTGACCTATTCCAACACACCAGGAGCTCATGTTTCCTCTTTCCTGAGGAAAGTAGATACTGTATTGCTTATTTCCTCACCTTTTAATGCATTCTTTCTGGTAAATCTGCATCCTTTCAGGTGAGTACCCTAAGCATTAGTCTGGAAGGTTCTGTTTCTTACTTTCTAGATCAATTAATATTTAATTATTTTAGAACTGCCAAAGCTCCAGCTGGAGAGGTGCCTGTTGCAAGCAGCACCATAGCTGCCGGTTGATACAAGATCCCCAAAGACAGGACACCACAAGACTTATTTCAGGACAGGCTTCCATGTTAGAAAGTGGTGTGTCCCCCCACATTCCTACCTTGTATCTGTCATCCACCTGTGCAGATACCAGAGGTATCCCTCAGACATCAGGAATGGCACAAGACACCTAGATCTAGGCACCTGAAACACTTCCTTAAATATTAAATACATAAAGCAATTTTCTGCTGGATGTAACTGCCAATCATGAGATGTGAATGTTAAAATCTCAGAGCGTATAGGAACCAAATATAGTGATTCAACTTCCCACATGATTGCTCTAACCATGGTGCTATAAGAACAAATCTCCCCTCCCCTCCTTTCCTCTTCCCTTTCCCTCTCTCACCTCTTCTTTGCTTCTACTAGAACTCAAACATTAGTGTTCACCCAGAATTGTCACATTCTTTTTTTTGTAATAAAAAAGTGAGAAAGGAGTGTAATCAAACCCATTGTCATTCAGACATAATTGATATTTTTGGCTTTGCAGCTGTCCTCATTAGCTGCAAGCACGCCTGTATTACAAGATGCTGCACTAATAATCCTGACACATTTCTCATCTCCTTAATTGCATCTAAATGTTCCCTATTGCACTAATAACTCAATAGCGGGGAGTTTATATATACTTCAGGAAGTGTGATAAATATTTACAAATTTTCATGTCTCAGACTGTCCTTCCATGTCTATTGAGAAGTGCAGAAAAGTATCTTTTCTACTGGAAAATTTGGAGAAGGATTGTCTTTGAAATCACAATTTTTGAGTGCTAAGGTGCCTTGCTGTTTTGAAAACAAACAGTAACAAACAAAGGAAATGCATTCCTGAGAGGAGATGTGTCTGTGAGTACACTGACACTGAAAATTCTGACTTCATTTGTAATCTTTCTCCTTTTTTCTATTATACATAAAGGAATTCTAAATTTTAATGGCACTACGCAGGTTCTCCATTTTTCTTTTACTTCCTCTGAGGACTAAAGCCTTGTCTATTTTTGCTGTCCTCCTCTAGTGGAAGTATTAATTCAGAGTCCTTTGACAGGATGTTCTAAAGATGTGGATGTCAGGGAAAGCTGAAGCATCACCATAGATTTATGCAAAAATATCTATTGTAATATAAATCCCTATGCCACAGCAATTTTATCCTCTCATTTAGTCACTTATACAACATGTGCTATAATCATGCTGAAGGCATAACTTATTGTTGCATTGATAGATTCCATACAATCAGTGCATTGTAAAATATGATGAAAATCTAGTTTTATTCTTGCAGTTCAGCATTACATGAGAATAGAGACACTGCTCCCTTAAATCCTCCACAGTTCTCAGTCCTTTCTTCTGCTGGCTGAACCTGCTTTTCCCAGATATTTTGAGATTCAGCCAAATAACACTGACAGTCCTTTTCAGGAGCTATTCTCCATCTGACTAACAGGGCATCAGCTGGCTCCCTGACCCTTGCTGAGGAATTTTCCCAATGGATCTAAAAGAGTAAGTCACATAAAAACTCCAGCCCATCATAAAACTATTCATTTTTCCCTTCTGAACGGGGAGTACAGGCCACAGATGCCAAGCTGGGGAAGGTCTTCTCTGAGAAGCTGCACATCCCTCTTTGGCAAGGTCCTTAAGCTTCTGTCCTTGCATCACAGCAGCCACTGCTGGCTCACACTCAGCTGCCAAGCCCCTGCCAATTGGTCTCAGCCTTCCACCTGAGACTTCCCATCCATCTTCCTAAGGTTGAATCTCTAAGATACAAGACCAAGACATCTCCTGTAACCTCTCACCCTGAAACAAGCTTTCCATGCCAATAAAAAATGATGCATTTTCATAAAATTCCTGACCTTATTTCAGGGAAAAAATTTGGTTCTGTAGGATCTGCCCTTTGGCTCCAGGAAGACAGACAGCAACCTTTTTACTGTTTTCAGTAAACTCGGGACATTTTGTGATGCTAAGTAACTCTTTCATACTGACAAGTGGTAACATGGAAAGGCTTCAAGACAGTAGACAGACAAAGACCTTTCAGTGAACATTCGAATGTGATATGACAAATAGAACCTACTGGAAACATGGACATCTATTTGGAGATGTTACCGTTGCAAAACAAACCAGACTTTCCCATAAAATTTAATAGAGTTTTAAACTAGTCTGTAAAAGGAAAAGGACAAAAACAGGCTTTCCAGTGAAAGGCAGTGGGATGGTGCACTGCAACTCAAGGAAGTGAGTGCTATTGGGATCCTTTAGTCTGCTCCATGAGGTTCCTTCTCCAAGGAACGAAATCTGAAATGTTTCTATACCAACACATGCAGTGACTGGAGTGCCTGTGACTGGAGTGCCATGTTGGATGGTTACAGGCGCTTCAGGAGGAATAGGCAGGGCAGGTGAGGTGGGGGAGGTGGCTTTTTATGTAACAGAAGGACTGGAATGGAGCTCAGAGCTGGCAGTGTCACAGTTGAGAGCCTCTGGCAGATGTCACCATGGGAGTCTACTACAGACTGCCTAGCCAGGACGATGACATTGATGACTTATTCTAAGGAACTAAGAGACACCTCTTAATCATCTGCCCTTGTCCTTATGGGTGACTACAACTAGCTGGAAATTAACTGGGTGCATCACACAACTGGCACAAACAGGTCCAGAAAATTCCTAAAACACCTGGATGACAACTTCATGGTACAGGTACTAAGAGAGACAGCTAGGAAAGATGCTCTCCTTGATTTGTTGCTTCCTAATAGAGAGGGTCTCACGAGGGAAGTGGAGATCAGTGGCCTTCTCGGCCACAGCAATGACAAAGCAATCAAGTTTAAAATCTGTTGATGGGAGGACAAATGCCAGCAGAATTTCAACCCTGGACATGAGGAGAGTAGACTTCAGGCTGCACAGAGAAGCAGTGGGTAAAGTCTGCTTGGAAAATGGTTTTGAAGGTGCTGGGGTCCATTAGAGGTGGTCACTTTTAAAGTATTGCTTTCTAAGGATCCATGAACAGGCAATCCCTAAATGCTAGAAGTGAAGCAGATGAGGTAGAAGGCCAGCTTGACTAGGCAGGAATCTACTTTTGGAGATAAGGCAAAAACAGAAGGTGTATGCCCAGTGGAAGCAGGGTCAGGTGATGTAAGAGGAGTACAGAGATGCTACTCACCACTGTAGGGAGAAAATTCATGTGGCCAAAGCTCAAATGGAGTTGAAGCTAGCCAGAAAAATGAGGGATAATAAAAAGAGGGGGTTTAAAATACATTAATGGTAGAAGGCAGTGCAGAAATTACAGGATAAGGATGGTCACCTCACAAACGGGGACAGAGACAAGGCAGAGATGTTTAGTGCTTTCTTTGCCTCTGCCTTCAACACTGATGATCGATGAAGAGAGTCCCATGCCCTGAGCTGGAAGACCATAGCTGTGAGAATGATAAACTCCCAGTTTACCCTGAAGTTGTGGTGATCTGCTGCTCCAGCTGGATCCCTACAAATCTATGGGACCTGATGGGATTCAGTGCTTAAAAAGCTGGCTGATGTCATCACAATGCATCCTCCACTGATTTTTAAACTGTCTTGACAATCTGGAGAGGTTCTAGTTGACTGGAAACTGGTGAATGTTGTCCCAGTTTTCAGAAAGAGCAAGAAGGATGCCCATGGAAACTGCAGGCCTGTCAGTCTCACTTCAATACCTGTTAAAGTTATGGAGAAGATTATTCATCGTGGATATTGAAAAAAAACTAAAGGGCAATGCAGTCATTGGACACAGCCAGCACGGCTTCATGAGAGGAAAGTCCTGCTTGTCAAATCTGATTTCCTTTTATGAAAAGGTAACCCACCTAGCTGATCAAGGGATGCCAGCTGATGTCATCTTGTTGGATTTCAGTAAAACTTTTGATATTGTTTCTCACAGGATCCTTCTGGACAAAATGTCCAGCATACAGCTGGATAAACACATCATGTGGTGGGTGAGCAGTTGGCTCAGGAGTGGAGCACAGAGGGTAATAGTGGATGGGTAACATGATTCTGGTGATCTGTCACTGGTGGGGTTCCACAGGGCTGCATTTTAGGCTCTGTACTCTTCAACATCATCATGAATGACTTGGACACAGGACTGGAAGGGATACTAAGCAAGTTTGCAGATGTCACAGAACTGGGAGGAGCTGTTGACTCCCTCGAAGGCAGGGAGGCCCTGCAGAAAGACCTCGACACATCAGAGGACTGGGCAATCACCAACCATAGGAAATTCAACAAGGGGAAGTTCTGGATTCTTCACCTGGGATGGGGCAATCCTAGATGTATGTACAAACTGGGCAATGAGATGCTGGAAAGCAGTGCCACTGAAAGGTACCTGGGGGTCCTGGTTCACGGCAAGTTGAATGTGAGTCAGCAGTGCCCTGGCAGCCAGGAGGGTCAAACATGTCCTGGAGGGCATCAGGCAAATCACCAGAGGCAGGTGATTGTCCCGTTCTGCTCCACACTGGTGCACCCTCACCTTGAATACTGTGTGCAGTTTTGGGCAGCATAATATAAGAAAGATATTACGCTTTTAGAGATCATCCAAAGGAGGGCAACAAAGATGGTGAAGGGCCTTGAAGGGAAGCCATAGAAGGAGCAGCTGAGGTCACTTGGCGTGTTTAGCCTGGGGAAGACGAGACTGAGGGGAGACCTCACTTCAGTCTACAACCACCTTGTGAGAGGAAGCGAAGGATCAGACACCAATCTCTCTGGTAACCAGTGACAGGATTCAAGGGAATGGCATGAAGCTGTGTCAGGGGAGGTTTAGGTTAAATATTAGGAAAAAGTTGTTCACCCAGAGTGTGGTTGGGCACTGGAACAGGCTCTCCAGGGACGTGGTGACAGCATCAAACCTGACAGAGTTCAAGAAACCTTTGGGCAATGCTCTCAGGCACAAATTGTGATTCTTAGGGCTGTTCTGTTCAGGGCGAGGAGTTGGACTTAGGTGATCATAGTGTGTCTCTTCCAACTCAGAATATTCTGTGATTCTGTGATAATAATTCATAATGTTACATGCTAGCACACTGCAAAGGCCGTGTACATCTCTATCTTATCAGAAAAACAGTAAGTGTATCTTTGCAGTATTTTTTTTAAATTCCTACGACTATTTTTTGGGGGATTTTGTTTTGTTATGGATGATAAGCTCAAAACAGAGATGATTGAGAACAACATGGAGGTAATCTGTTTTTACAAGGAACTCTGTCTTCATGAGTACACATTTCTTTTGAAACAAGACCCATAACAGATGCCAGGTGGAATGATTAAAGCAATGGGTAGATTCTCCAAGTCTCCTTCTTAGCTCTCTTAAAGAATTGATGGACACTACGGTATTTCTTCACAGACTCTACCCTGTTTTTCCATCAATACTTTCGCTGCATTCAGTTTAATTATATAATACATTGTCTGTTGTCCAAAATAAAAACTTTAATCAAAATTCAATTCATATTGTAATATCATACTGTCTTAAGCTTTTCCTACACCCTTTATACTCAGAGAAGTGATTTACATGATACTTTTTGTGACGTTATTACTATAAAATTAGGATAAAAATTAAGTTTAACATTTAACAGTAATGATGAAGTTTGAGGTCATTCTGATCAATCATGGAAGCAAGTTCTAAAATCATGGCCCAGCTACTGGTTTTCTGTACTTAAACTTCCCTTTTGAGATTGACAGTTGTAGTGTTAAAGCCATGGGATATCACGACAACACAGCAAGCAAGCGACTTTGTAATTTAGGTCAACCCCATTGAAGGATTTAGAGATTAATTAAGGACAGTTAGAACATTGTGCTTTTTCTTTTTTTATCTTTTCTTTTTTTAAATACTACAATATGAAACATTATGACATCAATCACCCAGAAAAATCCCACATAGGAGTATAATTTAAACTGACTAAGAAATCCTTCAAAAGTTATAAATTCTTCTGTCACACTAGCGGTACCTAATGATTCAAATGAGTGCTGCAACAAAAAAATTAAAGGCATAAATAACAAGTAGTATGCTAAGTCATAACAAGTCATCTCATAGGATCACCAAGACATGTCAGCAGTATATGCTCCATGTGCAGTATATGCCTGCTCTTACTCATTGTGGTGGGTTGACCCCAGCTGGGCACCAGATGCCCACCAAGCTACTCTATCACTCTCCCTTCTCAGCTGGAGAGGGGAGAGAGAATAAGATGGAAAACAATGCATAGGTTGAGATAAGGCAGTTTACTACAGGAAGAGAGAAAGGTTGCACATACAAGAAAAGGAGGAAAAAGAAAAATTTAATTCTCTACTTCCTATCAGCAAGTGATGTCTGGACACTTCCCAGGAAGCAGGGCTTCAGCATGTGTAGTGGTTAATTGAAAAGACAAACATTGTAAATAATAAATGCTCCCCGCATCCACCTCCCTTTTCTTAACTTTTGTATTTGCACAGACATCATATGGTATGGAAAATCCCTTTGGTCAACTGGGGTCAGCTATTCCAGCTGTGTCCCCTCACAAGGTTTTGCTCATCCTCAGCCTACTGTGCAGGGAAGGGGTTGAGGGAGTAATGCTGAAGAGACAGAGCTGATGCTGTGTCAGCACTGCCCAGCAATAACCAAAACACTAGCGTGTTATCAATATCTTTCTACCTACCAGTACTAAGCACAGCAATGTGAGGGCTGCTATTAGGAAACTTAACTCTGTCTCAGCTAGACCAGATATACTAATTTTGAAATCATGTACACATGGAATTTTATAGAAAGATTCTGAACAATATTTGTAGTTGGAAATGAAATCTATTATGTTTGTGTGGTTCAGGTCATACGACTAGCTGCAGACTTCATTTTCAAGGCAAAGACGACACTATGTTCTAGACCCATTTATGAGGAAAAAAAAATCCAGTCCTAAAACAAACGCCTCTGCAGCAAGAATTAGAGCCAATGACTTGTAATATACTCCAGGAAAAGGAAAAAGAAACTCAAGGTTGTTTTAAATCAAAAGAGTATGCTTAAAATCTTTAGCTCCACTGACACAATTTTGTCTCTAGTATTTAAGTCTTTGGTAACTTGATGATACTGTTGTATCATTCAAACAAATGTTACATTCCTTTAAGGACATTTTTTCCAGGGGAAAAAAAAAAAAAAAAAAAAAGAAAAAAGAAAAAAAGCTTTAATGGTTTGGCTTTTATCAAGATCGAGTGAAATTACAGAAACAAACACCATATGGCCAAGAATCTTGAGTGATTTTTGGGAAAAAATGGCATTTCTTCAGGTTGAGTGATAAGTCAAATACCTGGTTAAGCATTTAGAGTTTGGTTGGCTGAAAGAGAAAACAACATTATTGGAGAAAAAAAATCTTTCCCATCACTTTTAATTAACTCAGAACCCTTCATTGAATAGTGTGACTTAGTAGCATGGCTTGAAATTGATAGGAACATAGATGTTTTAAAGTCTGGCTGAGTTTTTGTGATTCAGGTCCACTAATTTATAAGAAAAATTACAGTATTTAGCTTTTATTTATGGGCATTTTAAAAATAGCCAGCCAAATTCTGGTGGTCTGTTGCCTTGCCTCCTATATAAATATGGCAGACCCAGAACGAGTTGCTGAGAAATTTCTGTTATGCATGTCCCTGAGATACTCCTTTTACATGGCACAGGATCAATACAAGCAACCCTAATTTGCTGTTGCAGAGTCCCAGTAGAGGTGATCAGTGGGAGCATGTGAGACTGTCAATGTGTGAAGCCCTCTGAGACACCCTGGATTGCCAAGGTTCTAGGCATCTGGGACTCTCCCTCCACCTCATTTTTGATGCAAGACAATACCATAGTTCTACACCCTGAAAGGGTCAATCATGTACTGATGCTTCCCCAGAATATTCTTCCAGAAAGTTGAAGTTCACGAAATTTCAAAATTCAGAAGTGGAAGTTTTTTGGGCTAATCATAAAATGGTTTGTGTTAGAAGGGACTCTAGAGATTCTCTAGAGAGGACTCACCATGGGCAGGACACCTACTGCTAGACCAAGCTGCTTGGAGCCCTGTCCATCCTGTCCTTGAACTCTTCCAGGGGTAAGACATCCACAATTTCTCTTGGCAACCCATTCCAGTGTCCCACCATCTTCACAGTAAAGAATTTCTCCCTAATAAGCCAACTCTCAGTTGAAAGAAGAAAATGACCCATTCTCCTATCATTACATCACTTTGTAAGAAGTCCCTCTCCAGCCCTCCTGT